ACCAAGTTTGTCGATAATACGGTGTACAGCCTACGGGGTCCTACTGGCCTCGGCCATCATCGGGCACGTGATCTTGCACAGGATATGCGTGAGGGCTGGCGCGCCATCATGCAACAAACGCCTCCCGATGAAGCGATCGTCACTGATTTCCTCGACTCGCTTCCTCCGCGGGACCATGGTCCATACCTTTCGGTTCTCAGCGATGAATTAACAGCAGCTGAGGTGCTAACATCTATTCGTCGCTGCAAAAGGGGTAAGGCGTGGGGACCGGATTCGCTTGGTAACGACTGGTTACGCGACAATGAGGCATACCTTGTACCTCTACTGACAAGGGTATTGAACGTGTGCGCACTTGGCGGCATCTTGCCGGGCACGTTCGGTCAAGCTGTAGTGGCGTGCATAAAGAAGTCGAGGGGTGCGGCATCACCACTTGACTATCGACCGATATCTCTGTTAAACTCGGACTAAAAATTCTTCACACGGAGATACGCGTCCCGCCTCAGACCTCTGCTACCAACTCTAGTTAATCCTCTCCAAACTGGTTTTGTACCTCGAAGAGAGATGGCGACGGTACTTGATATCTTCGCTGCTGATAAATTGTGTGCAAGTAATGATCCCGAATTGCACCGCTCGCTCGTGTTGCTGTTGGATTTCTCAAAGGCGTATGATTCGCTATCACGCAATTTTCTTCTCGCCGTGATGAGCCGACTCGGCTTCCCGGCATCGTTTGTTCATCTCACCTTGGCTCTTCACACGGGTACAAGAAGCCAATTTATCGTAAACGGCTACATGTCCGATCCTCTTGATGTCGGGTGTGGTATACGCCAGGGTTGCCCGCTGGCACCCTTGCTTTTTATCATTGCGGTGGAACCTCTTTACGAGATACTACATAGCACGGTGAAGGGTGTTCAGATCGCAAATACGTCGGAGACACTGGAGATCAAGGTATGCGGGTACGCGGATGATACTGCTGTGTACGTTCAGTCCCCGGAGGAAGTGTCGATGGTCATGCGGACTCTAATGCGATTTGGGGCGGCTTCTGGGCTGGTCATTAATGCTTCGAAGTCTGTGGCGGTTCCTCTGTGTGCCGGTGTGAGCATTGACCCCACACTTTTGCACAGTGTTAAGCTGTTACAGGCGGGCGAGAGGTGCAGGTATCTTGGCGTTTTAATTGGGGATGGACGGACGGTTCGGGACAACTGGAGTGCATGCCTAGTCTCACTCAATGCTCGGCTTGTGCTAGCCAGACGAAAGACAAACACGGTCAGGAGCCGAGCTCTATTAGCCTCGGCTTTAATCATTCCCAGGGTCACGTTTCTCGCGAGACACTCGTGGCCTACCCGTGAGGTTATCGACTCGTTACAGCTTTTGGTTAAGCGTTTTGTTTGGGGATCGCGACAAGGTGTGCCATCATGAGCGTGGATGAGTGCAGCACAGGCCGGTTTACGTGTGTGTGATGGGGGGATTTCTATCCCACATGTAGCAACGGAGCTGCTTGCTATGGCGGCCAATGCGGTCGGTAAATGGGCATCTTTTTCGAATGGGCCAGCTCGAGTCGCGGGTGACATATTGCTGGCAAGGAGAGCTGGAGTTGATGTGTACCTTTCTCCGGATAAGCCATGCACAACCCCTAAGTGTTTTACGGTCTCCGACACCATGTGGGCCAGCGGAGCAGCTGTGGTTCGTGGTGTGCATAGTGTCCCTATTGATTTGTCTAAGGCTGGATGTGTTGCAGCAACTGAGTCTCTCTTCCGTCGGCATCTTTCAGCTGCCTACTGGGAGGGCGATACATTAACATTTCGAATCGATACTGCCACGGTACAAGCCTTTGAAAATAAAGCGGTCGGCGAGCAGTGCATACGTGGAACTTTCTGCCACGAGTGGCTAGGTCGGGTGGGACTCGATACGAGGCAATGGTTGATCAATGGACGGGGAGAGGACGTCAATTTACCTCTCCTTCGGCGTGGATAACAGTGGCAAACGCTTCGTGATCTCCTGACTTGGATATGGCACGGGGATGGAACCATCAAGTTCGAGCTTCAGCGTTCACGGTCACCGGCAATTCGGCGTGCGGTCTCGGTCCTGTGCAAGGCGATTGTGTGCAATTTTCCCACGCTTTTCCTTCAACCGCGCTCACCATCGCTCTTGAGACGGATTGATGCTAGCACGTCGTCGAATCTTTCGTGGCGCCGTTTTGGAAATGCAAAGAGCATTGTCTTCTCGAATAACACGATCGTGTATACATCAGTCCCAGTCCAGTCGCGGTACGACTGTGAACTCCGAGCCCGTGCAGACATCAATAAGTGGAAATTCCGCTTTCATGATCATCCTGCATTGTCGCGACTTGTGCAGCTTCACACTGGGGCTGATTGGCCTTTTAATCGGGCGCAATACAAGGAGGCTGTGTCCGGGCAGCGTGTGGCACAGGGGACTGTGGAGAGAGATCGGGCAATCGCTGTTCAAGCTACAAATAATAAGGACCTGCATGATGCACTATCCCAGCTGGAGTGGCGTGACATTCGGGCAGTGAAGGGAGCTGGGGCTTCTACGGTCCAGACACTTTTTCGATTGAAGGCCAAGAAGCTGAATTTATGGAACTATGTGCACAGTGACCGTTCTTGTCCACATGGCGAGTGTCCCCGAGACGTACCTATTAGCCTTCAACACGTCTTCTGGGAGTTCCCTATTGCGAAGGCAGCATGGAAAGACTTTGACATTCGATGGAAGCGTCTCGGCGACAACGCGCCTGCTAACCTTTTTGAATCGTGCTTCAGTTTGGAACTAGACGATACGCCGACACGTGCGTGGCGAACGGTATGTGATCATGTTCGTGCTGCAGGTACCGAGCATCGTGATGTTTTGTACGAGGTTTCCAGGGATTTGTGGAGGCTGACGGTGGCGGCGACAGTTCAAGCCATCTAATGTGCGCGACTTCGTCTCCGGCACGAGCCAGATGCGCTTCAATCGACATTGCGGGCGGTAATTTGCGTTACAGTAGACAATGCCTTGCGCGATTTGGTTTCATTGAGTTATAAATTCGACACGGATATTTCAAAACTTCCGAAGAATGCCGCTACCAGGGCGCTGGCTGATCGTCTCAAAGGGACGATTGACGGGACGATTCTCTCGCCACCGATTCGAGACCGGAGCGCCTATGGTTTTTTTATGGCGGCTCGCGTGGTAGTCCCGGTCCAGGCGGATCCGGTTCGGTCATGGTCTGTGTTGATCTGGACACGCGAGCATCAGAGATTACCTGGGCAGCGAGCATGTCATATGCGCATAACAGCACAACCAACAACATGGCGGAATATTGGGGGCTTTCTCATGGCCTCCTTCACGCTGAAACTAGACAACTCACACCATTGTACGTGGTCGGTGACAGCTCTTTAATTATCCAGAAAATGCGGCGGCATCGGCCTCCGCGTCAACCCCGACTCCGACAACTTTATCTCAAGGCGAGAAGATCTGCGGATAGCCTAGGAATCTGCGGGTGGTCTCATCACTACCGCGTGAACAACAAAATGGCAGACTTGGCTGCGAATATTGCGATGGACTCCAAAACGTCACAGCAAACGTGCGCTACTGACAATCGACCACTGATTGCAAGAGTGCAACGGTTTCTCCGCACTGACGTGCACGAGTGGCAGGCATTTCCTCCAACGCATACCCCGGGTCCAAGTATTTCTGTTCTTTCGGCGGTTGCTTCCTACGGTCGGAGGGTAGCTGTATAGCCCCTTTTTTTCATAGCTTGGCGGTGTAAACCCCCATCCTAGCCATTAGAGATCTTATAAGTACCTCAATGAAGCTCACTCACTCACCTAGCTAACCATGCGTTGTACGAGTATTGGTGTATTTTGTTGCAATCTGTTTCGACTTTCTTCTTGGTGTTCATCGTGAGTACTGGACCCATCGATTGTTTGTTCAGTGGATCGCTGCATCTCCCTGTTTGGCTCAAATGCGATCGGAGAAGAAAGGTGGAATGCGCGTGCAAATTCTCCAGCACTTACAGTCACTAACCTTCACAACAAGAAAACTGACCCAGCGAGATCGCGATGATCGTTCATGGTCCCTGTGCCGAAGTCAGCTTTTGCCCCACCATTCTCGTCTCGTCTAGTTTTGCGAATGGACCCTTGTTGTCGGCGTCCTATAGTCGTTGTACCCATTCTATCATTCACATCGCAGTTGGAACACGGGCTGAACGGATCAACCTTTTTTTTGTTCAAGGAAAACATCGATCGATCGATCGATTCTCAAAGTACCAAGTCGACAATCAGAGAAACAAGCGCAGCGATGCGGTCATAAGCGGTAGCTGTCATGAAGTATGACAGTATGAACATGAAGTTGTCATGTACTGTAGCTGTCACGTGCGATGATAGTACACGAAGTTGCCATGAAATGTAGCTGTCATGCGCTACAGATGTCGTGTGTGATAGCTGTCATGTGGCACAGATGCCGCGTGTGATAGCTTCCATACACCGTAGTTGTTGGCATGTGTCATGTACGATCGATACAAAGTGGTTGGTGCATGGGAGAGGTCAATGAGAAATGAACAGTCGTCTAATGCGGGACGTCATAAAGTCAACTCAAAGTGGTATTCAAGACGTTATTCCGTCAGTGTCGGTCAGTGCGGTTCGTATGAACTCCGCTTCGTCTGTCCAGCCCGACTTCAGTGTGGTCTGTCTAAACTTATTTTCGACGATCTGACGCGACCTTCAGTTTCGTTTGTCGAGACTTTTTGCTCCGAGTTTTCGGCTCGACTTATTAGCAGTAGAAGAAACCACCCAAAGGACGGCCAAACAAACATCTCGGACCATAGACGGGGCGACCGAACGTGTTCCAGTAGCCGAGTGGGTACCTCCATCCGTATCGAAACCCACCACCAAACGGGAATCGGAATCGGTGTCGAAAGAAGCGAGCGCGATGTCCGATAAACTCTTTCGTGCTCGATTCTGGACTCGTATCAGCGATTGGTTCCTGGTCACCGACAAGATCGACTCCAGGTGGGAGCTGTTCCAGATCGTTCGCGGACTCAGTGCTGGCGAAGACGCAGGTGGCAGCTCCAAGCACGAGAAACAGCACAGCAAAGATGGAACGCTTGATCATCGTCTCGTAGACTGAGGCAAATTGGCTTATGCGTAAGGGGCAACTCGTGCGGCACCGTGCGGATCGATGTATGAGTTCATTGCGTGGTGCCTCCGCGCATCCAGCGTATTTCAATGAAAGTCCTTGGAGCCGTTGTGGAAATTGCTCGGGGTTGTCGTCGAGCATAGTAAGGTGATTGTTCAAACGGTGGTATTGTCCGAATACCTCAACGAATTGATACACGGGATCTTGCGGTCGTCACCTGAACCGCGTGTATGATGGCTCTGACCTGTCAATCGTGTCGAACAAGTACTTTCAGTGAAGGATATGTTCCTAACACGCAACGCGGTCTGGATCTGTCGATACGTGTTTGATCAAGTAAACCGATCATAGGCCAGGCTACTACTGCGTATGGTGTGATCCAACTTGCCGACATGAATGTACGTCCTGAATGCCGTACGTCCTCCAGCATTCACGTTGCTGAGCATGCGTTGTGAGTGTATGGTGTATTTTGTTGCGATCTGTTTCGACTTTCCTGGTGTTTCCGTTGTCAAGGTTCACCGTATGTATATACTTCATGGAGTCATGTTTATCGCGTATTGTTTATCCGTTATGACTCACTCTCGTGAGAACACAAGGTAAGCAAATATGAGGTACAAGCTGTCGTCTGGTAAACTGATTACCAGAATATTACCAGGTAGTGATAAGGACGTTAAGAAGACAATGTTTTTTACGATGGAAACATATCGTAGATGTAGGACTTAAATTTAACGTGGTTAGCTTAGGAACTGAGGACCTCAATCAATGAATCGCTTCCAGAGTTGCCTTTATATCAACATGTTAACAGCCGCGACGCCTAACTCGTTCGTCGCCAGCTCTGAAGACTAGTATGTGCGCAAAGAAATCCCAAGTCATCCTGGGAAGTTGCAATTGCTATCACTTATAATTCGCCATGCGAATGACGCTGGCGCGGTAGGGACTCCTAGCACATGTTTAATATGTGAAGAACCCGTCAGATTTAATTGAAGGATGGTTGCTCAACGATGTGAAGGCTCTAGGGCTTATTGCCCAAGGGATTGCATAAGAGCACCAGACTAAGATTAGTTCGGTGATCTCGGCTCTTCATGCGTTAATACGCTCGAGGACTTCTACGATCGGGTAACGCTACACAACCGCTTGTCGATGAATCGTCGTATCCATGATTTCTAGATGGAAGCCGGAATGACGATGTCCAAGCACCTCGACAGTTTTAATGAACTGGTTGTGGGGCTGCAGACACAGAACGAACCTCTGGATGAAGCTTACAATTGGTGATTATGCTGAGCAGTCTTCCGGAAGAGTATGAGCTGATCTCCCTCATTGTTGAAAACGCTAAAGACGCCACGCTTATCGAGGTCAAGGAGAAGCTGCTGGGAGAATTTGGACGACTGGAGAGGAAGGAAAGTCAAGAGCGTGCACTGAAGGTACCCATTGAAGCAAGTTCAGAGGCTCGAAGAACGCAAAAGCTGCAAAGGGACATAGTCAAAGGAGGTTTGATTTAAGGAAGAACTAAGGCTATAAAGTCAAGTGATTTATCTGCAATCAAGTCGAGCACTTCAAGCGTGATTTTCTCACCCGGAACGGCAATGGTGACGGTAATACCGTATTTATCGTGGGTGGTCGATCAGCCGGTTGGTTAATTGATAGTGGTGCAACGGCACACACGTCACCGTATCGCGAAGAATTCTTCGGATACGAGACATTTGCGAGCGTCATTGAAGTTGCCATAGCGAATGGCAAGAAACTTCGCGTTGCCGGAAAGGGTGGAATAATCATGATTGGCACCAAGGCAAACGAATTTGTGTGTCGGAAGCTCTACGCATTCCAGGTTCGGACTGACGGTTGCTGTCCGCCGGCATATTGGCTGACCGGGGCATGAGTGTTGAAGTTCGTCAAGATTCATGATCATTTAGAACAATTCCAAGACAGTAACATCTGGACAGAAAATCGGTAAGACATGTGTGCTGGAATTTGGCTTTGCAAGATTCTGATCGGCCTTTCAGTGTCTTGTAACTCTTCGGCCTTTGCCATTGGCTGTGCTCTGTTTCAAACGCTTGGTATAAGACAAAATTGTGTTATCGTTTTAAACCCCGTCAGTTTTAAGCTGCTGAAAAGAACTATTCAGTTCATGACAAAGAAGCCACTTTCTGTGAAGTATGCTTTGTAAAGTTTGGCGTTCATCTGCTTAGCTCTAAGCCTTTCTTAGTTGAAACCTATCATGAATCTTTACGCACATCGACCCAATCGCCTCACCTCTTGAAGAGAATGGCTCGCTGTCAATCAATTTTTGCAGAATATAGCTTCGAAGTGAAGTATAAGCCGAAAAGCAAAACGCGTTGGTTGATGCGCTGTCACGACGGCCTGACAATGATCTTGCCCATATTAAGATTTTGTAGACGCCAATTACTGACTCAATCTAAGCATCTTATGCCAAGGATGAACAGTGTGTAGCCTTGCTACGTGCTCTTGAAAAAAAGAGTTTGACGACTTGGACATAAAACTGTTGGCACGTTCGCGTGCAAGGCTACATCGATAATCTATCAATAGCGGCTTGTTGCGCTATCGCACGTATATTGCGGATACCGCACGCATCATTTTCCCTTTTAATGAGGAGCTAAAGCATTCTATCCTCTATAAGGTTCATGACACAACTATTAGCAGTCATCTCGGTCGTGAAAAGACCTACGGTTTTGTCAGCCAGACTAAATGGTAATTCAAACTCCATAATGGGTAAGCACTTATGTGCACATGTGTAAGACGTGTAGCGGGTCAACACCTTGGCATATTGACCGCGCCGCTGGCTAGTTTACCTGCATCCTCTGAGCATTGATAATTTTGTAGCATGGACTTCGTGTTTTGCCTACCAAAGGATTTAGAATGCGTACACAGGTATTTTGGTCTATTCAAACATTTAATCAAATGACTTACATAGAGGCTGTGCCGGTTATGATTGATGATGTAGGTACATATCTGTTGGTTTACTAATTGCGTTTTTTGCTAACGCGAACGGCCACTGGCAATTGTCTCTGACCGCTATCCACATTTACGGGCAAGTTCTGGAAGGCCATCTTCAAGGTGCTTGGCACCAGATTAAATATGTCTACAGCGGATCATCGGCAAACCGATAGTCAGCTTGAAAGTGTCAATCTCGTCCACAGTGACGCCGTACGCAGCGTGTGCTCTGAGACGCCTCAGCTTTGGATCACAATGCTCCCCATAGTTGATTTTTCCATGATCAATGCCTTCCATGCCTCGACAGGCTGTATACCGTTCTACCTGAACGAACTCACACACACCTCGCGTCCTATTAATGCTACCACTACGTGACGCCGGGCTTGGTGAGGGAGAGGTGGTCGATCAGCTTGCTGATGTCATCCCTTAGAATGTTCAAAAACAGGCTAGTGCGTTCCTCGCAATGCAACTAATTATCTTACAGAATGTGCGTGAAAATTTTAGTCTTATATTGGAAAAACAGAAGGAATAAGCGGGTACTAAAGGTTTAAGTTGTATTCAAAGTTATGAGGCTGGTAAGTGAGTCTTACGTAATGCTAAGAACCTGCCAACAAATGTAGTTTCTGCTGTGTTTAATGAAAAGCTGCATCATGGATTCGTGGGACCATTTACGGTCTTCACCAAAAGAAGGTTTTGCGCCCACGCTCAACTTATCGCACAAATTGCTTGCAAACACCGAATTTTAAGTTGTCCCCTTCAAGCCGTATCGGGATCCGTCACATGTAGATCAAGAGGCGCTTGCGCCGCGGAAGTTGGCTTTGACACAGGCTGCTGCAGCTGAATCAGGAGATCGATTGCACCTCCATCCGTGTCTGACTTATCTTAAACGTCATTAGCCGGGCGGGAACCGCGTCAAGCGTGCGCTGGATGTTACCTAAGGTATCGCAAATACTGTTTACGTTGTGAAGTAAAGCCTCGTGGGCTGCACCCGACATACCGGCCGCTACCATCACTACTTGATGAGCAATATAACCTCCAGCTCCATGTGGAGAGGTAACTTTAACGACATTTTCGTCACGTCCAATACAAGTATCCGATAAAGTAGAGAGTTACATTGAGTCTGAGAACTCATGAAGGTATGAGAAATCCCTTTGCAAGATTGCCCATATTCCGTAGATTTTTTCGTGCACCACGGTCATGGTCAACTTGCGACCCCTCACGCCTCTCAACAGAAATGGAAACAGCAGGCGGGTCCATGACCTAATTCCGATAAAGTCTCGCAGCCATAGGCACAGCCGCAGCGTTTCGCGTGCGGTACATCGCCTGCAACTGGCCTTTGGCCCTAAATTTGTTGAAATCGTAACGGATTTTCGCTCGAGACGTACGTCAGTTCTTGTCAGCGCTTTATCTTGAAGAAATATTACTGCTCTAGCGCCGCGCTTTATGCCCTATGCTACTTTTATTCTGATATTATATAACGCTGTTTGGTTCTTGATTTAGACACTAAATTTGATCTTATTATTGGAATGCCTTGGCCTGAGCGCCGCGAGTCATGGATTGATTGGAGACCCAAAACATTTGGCACAACGCGTACTGCCCCTCGCGGGGCTTTAAAGAGTCATGAACCCACCTCTGCTAGGAACCAGAAACTCTGTTGGGGCGAGCCACTGGCTGACAATGTCAGTATGCTGGACATCCTGATGTCAGAACTAGTTGATTAGGATAATTTTAAAGGCATGAGATTGGAGAATATGTAACGGGCACCCTGAAGCTTGTACTGATGACAGTACAAGCTACTTTTTCTGACGACAGAATAAGGTGGTGCCTCGTAACTTCACGTACACTGGTACGTGCAGAGGAAGACGGTAAGGAGAAGCGAGTACTTGGTTAAAGTAAAAAGTAGAGCTTTATTTATAGGGAAACGTTAACCACCCCCCAGGTTTTCGTTAAGATCCCCCCACCCCCTGTATATTACCGTAATTTACTCGATGGAAGCGTTCCGATTGGTAGATTTGAATATATCACCGGTTTAAGCAGTAACTTACTATTTCATTTACAAATGATAAAATACTAAATCCAGATAATTGATGCATGTCTATAAGTCGGCGACGTGTGATGATTTACATGTCAGATACTGCGATTTTCCTGGATGGACACTGTAACAAAGGCATTCATTCATGCTACATTCGAAATTGACGTTAAGCCAGCTGCAGAGGTCTATCACGAGGTATGTGTGTAGTCGTAATACGTGTATAATTGAATAACTAGACTAACGCGTAATTTGATGATGGTAGTGGCTTAACCTCCTCCCATCGGCATGCACATCGCGGCTGCTCTCTATCCTACGCATTGTCGACTGACTCTTCATCCAACAGCGCGTCCTGCTCCAGATCAAAAAGATTCGAGTCAAAAGACGAAAAGGGCAAGATGCCAAATAATGACCGGGCTCGTGTTGTGAGAGTGAAGCCTGTCGATCAAGGTACTACTGTTGCGGCAGCTTCCAAGATGCTCTCTGATATCCAAGCAGCTGTTGGTGATGGCTAGCGCGTTCGCACTAGCGCTAGCTCTGTGGAGAAGAGGGACGTTGCAGATACTATGACTGCTACGCCGGCGACGAGTGGAGGTGTTACACCAAAGAAATTCAAGTTCAGCGGCATCTCGATTAAATCTTGCAGCTCGACAACGCAGAAGAGTCAAGTAACTACGCAGAAACGTGCAATTTGCTTTTGTAGGTTGGACAAAGGCAGTAACGACTTTTACCCTGGGGACAACAATATTGCAACTAAAGCAACTTTGATTCCAAGCGCCAGCTGGGTGGGTCTGCAGTCGTGAAGTCGCCGTCCAGGCTGCATGATGCAATTATTGTGTTGGAATTGGCTTTCAGTATTTAGCAATATGACATTTTATTTATAATCAATCAAAAATATGGAAGGTATATATATTACGGTAATATATAGGGGGTGGGGGTGGTTAGCGAAAATCTAGGGGGTGGTTAACGTTTCCCTATTTATAATAGGTAATGTCTGTTAATAAAAACCACTGTTTATCTTCATCTAACTATGTCTAAATACAAATGTGTATACTAACTATCTGCTCACCACTCATTGCGTGCGTCTATCGTGGCGCGTCTTCGTTGGTTGACATAATGGCCTATATTAACCAATTAGGAACTACTCTTAAGTGCTGCAGAATATTTGTCCTCATGACAATATTCTGAAAATATGACTCTTATAGTTATATTCTATTAACAATTTCTTATAAATTGTGTGTAACGGTTCACCCCGTTACAGAATAGCTTGTTGTGTGATAGTGAAACGGCACGAACGCGCTGAGTGATATTCGTTGTGGGAACAACGTACTAGATAATAAAATAATTTTTGACCAAGCGTCAATTTATCCAGGATTGGACCCATCAGATGAGCGTAAGGTGACTCGTGTGTACCCACTGTGTGACTTTGCCGGTGATAGCGACTTGCTGATGTTAATTTAGACGTTTTGGTGAAATACCGATGCATCCAAGCACGACTCAGCGGATGCACCTGAAGTGGAA